GAGCTCTCTTCCTGGAAAGACAGTGCAAGAGCGAAATTCATTGCTGCTACGGACGCCGAGGCGCTCAAGGGATTGAGGATCATGAGCGAGACGGAGGGTATCATACCAGCATTGGAGACTGCACATGCGGTCTGGGGCGCCGTTGAGCTGGCCAAGACCATGAGCAAGGACGAGACCGTGGTGCTGTGTTTGAGTGGCAGAGGGGATAAGGATGTGCAAACCGTGGCGGATGAGTTGCCTAGACTTGGGCCGGAGATCGGCTGGGATCTGAGATTTTAGATATTTCCATCTTCAATTAGGCGTAAAATCCTTTTGGAGTCAATAGACAATATTCTCGAATTGCTTACTCCTATTATTACATTGCTCCCCCTTTTCGGTGTCTTGGCTCGGTTGAATCTCGGACCGAGGATCTCGAGTAAGATAACTGACATGCGCAACCACTTTACTCGAGTAAATCTTGTAAGGACAAACGTATCATGCGTATTTGATAGACACATGCTTGTCAAAAGACGATAGCATCTAAGACGCGATGCTGCCAATAGCACGATATTCAGCCCTTCGTGCGATCCGATTACTCTCTACCACTCTTCCCCGGTCTTCGTCGTTGCCCATCCTCCGCCTTCTCTCCACACTAGCGGTCCTAGAACAAATAGATGGAAAGCTAAATAGTGGCTCGCTATGCGCTGTAACGGCAGGGAGAAAGCTAGGCGGGTCAGTCACGGGTTTCGTTGCAGGAAGCAACGTCAAAGTTGTGGCGGAGCAAGCAGCAAAGGGAAAGGGGATGGAAAAGGTGGTAATGGTTGACAATGGAGCTTATGATAAGGTGAGATCAAGCAAGGAGCTGATCTATTACTGTCCTAACTCAAAGGCTCCATAGGGTCTGGCCGAGAATTTTGCTCCGTTACTTGTGGAGAATATAAAGAAGGGAGGATATACACATGTTATTGCAAGTCATTCGGCTTTTGGGAAGAGCCTTCTGCCTCGAGTAGCTGCGCTGTTGGATGTGCAGCAGATATCAGACGTCATGTCAATACAAAGTGAAGACAGTGAGCCGAGATCTGCCTGTTCCACAGCTCATGGCTCTGATCTTTCCTTCTAGCGTTCGTCCGTCCAATCTATGCTGGCAACGCCATCCTAACCGTCCAATCTACTGATCCCATCAAAATCCTAACCGTACGCACAACCTCCTTCCCCGTTTCGGAAGCCTCCGACAGCAAAACCGCCTCAATTGAAGAAGGCACCGATCCCAAAGCCCCATCACCCACAGAATGGATCTCCGAAGACCTTGCCACCTCAGACCGCCCCGAGCTCGCCACAGCCGGCAGAGTCGTCTCCGGCGGGCGCGGTCTTAAGTCCAAAGAGGAATTCGACAAGCTCATCCCTCCCCTCGCCGACGCATTAGGTGCTGCGATCGGCGCATCCCGCGCAGCAGTGGATAGTGGGTTCGCAGATAACAGTTTACAGGTCGGACAGACGGGGAAGAATGTCGCACCGCAGCTCTATCTGTGTGCAGGCATCTCGGGGGCGATTCAGCATCTGGCGGGTATGAAGGATAGTAAGGTCATTGCCGCGATTAATAAGGATGCTGATGCGCCGATTCTTCAGGTGGCGGATGTGGGACTTGTGGGGGATTTGTTTAAAGCGGTGCCGGAGTTGACGGAGAAGTTGAAGAAGGGATAGAGAAGGGCGGTTAGGTATGATATGGCTTGATATCGCGTCTCTAAGGCCATTGTATATATGAACAGAGGCCGCAAACAAGATGATGAGCTCCGACCTCAAATTTCCTGTATAAAAAATTTCTCTATATCATCGATCTTGAAGAACAGCGTAGCAACCCTTCGGCCTTTTATAGTGCTGTCATATGGTGTCCTTTGCGGAAACCAGATTGGTAGTTCAGAAATCCATCATATTCCTCCATGCCTACCGCAATGGCAGGACCTTCTTACACTTGAAATACATGACAGCCTCTATTCTTGGTAGTCAGACGTTGCTTCCCTTTCCATGAGGCAGCCCTCGTCATTGAATTCATTATTATTTCTCGGCGGAATATTTCAACCTTTGTCTACAGGTGGCAACTCCCACAAGCCGCTTGGAGTCCATGACATGATTTTATGATAAACCAATTTAGGCCAAATGGGGGATTCCAACCTAGCTTAGTGGCTGCACTTCGGATCTCATAGTTATCTAGAAATCACCTTTCGATTCGATTTAGGTTGCTGAGAAAGCTATCTCGTCTATTTTTATCCACCACTCACCACCTGTGCCTTACCGACTCGAAGAATCTGACTCATACCCGCTCAATGCTACTCCAATTCAGACACTGCGAGAGCTGCAAATGGAGCTTGCGCCCTGTAACAACTGACCTGCCTATTCATGCCCCCAGTACGAAGTTCAACTTGTGTAGTAGCTACTAGTTATCACATTTGCAGCCTAAGTCACGTTTCACCTTGGTCCATGCGGAGATAATGCACGCCATGGGATAATGGGTGGGAGTCATAATCCCGGGTGGTTGCCTGTTTGGGGAGAGGCTGTGATTCATACCCCCATCTGCAGATACGATGCTACAGGGCGTTTTTAGGCTGTCCCTGATGGCTTCCTATATGAGTGCTGATGTCGCATCTTGGGTTAGTACTCAAGATATTCTGCCCGTATCTGAATTGGATGAAAATTCGAGCTGGTTGATTCCTGTGTATAGCGGTTTTGATTTTGTCCAATCTTTGAGAGGTAATACACTGAGCTTCTTTTCATGAGTTGGCTCTACTTTCCTGCTGAATTGCTTGCTGGTGTGATCTGTTGTTGCACAGTCTTGGACACCCAGAAAATTCTTTCTTTCCTTCTAAGAGCAATTTTTCTTGTTTGCATTTTTGTTTCTCTTTCTTTATGCCAATCTTCTCCACCTACGACAGAACCTCGCTCATTCTTGTTCGCAGATATCTTATAACCGCATCTTGACAAAGACATCTTCCTAAAATACCCTGTCAGTCATAACGAGATCAATGTCTTCCAAACAACAAGTCACCTCTGATACATCATCAAGCCGGAGTACCTCGACATTATCGAGCCTGAAGTCGCTTCTGACGACACACAAGGAGACGGAATCATCGACGAAAACGAAGCGGCAGCCGATAGTGCGATCTGAGGAACAGAAGAGGACAGAGATGGAAGCTAGGGCGGCTTACTTCTCGTTGCGATGAGCTGGTAGTATTGATGAGGGCCCAATGGCATATGTTTGTGAATTGGGCCTGAGTGCATAGGGATGTTGCGTTTTAGGAACTGGAACTGAGTGGGTATGATTCGGGTAGCATACCTCAAATGCCCCCTTTGAGATATGGGTTATTGATGCTGTGAATTTTGTGCTTCTGTTGATGTTGATGATCATTGGAAATATTACGCCTTTGGGAAGACCTATTAGGGGAAGTTGATATCAGTGGGAAAACACAAAGCCACGTGGAAATATTGCCAGGACTTCACCTTTCAATGCCTATTTCTTTTTGCTTTCCTTGTCTCCGGGTGACTTTGACCGCCAGCGGCTTCTCGATTTTGTAGGTATCAGTATAGCAACAAAGATATCATCCCACTGACAATCCGTATCCTTTGGTATCAAGCCGCTCATCCAGAACGACTTTGGTTCACATGAAATCACCACACCTAAGATATGGCACGCGTGAAAAAAACGAGTCGTGCTCCCCCAGCTGGCAACAATCGTGGGCTGGCCGGTGTTCTTCAACTCGACCCAACTCATGCCCAACCAAATCACAACCAATACAACCTTCACCAGCTCAACCAGAGTTTCTGGGAAGCACCGAATTTTCCTGAGTCTGATTTCGTCAGAATGAGAGATACTTATCAGATGCCTCCACCTCCGCCACCTGCTGTTGGTGAGCAAGATGTTGAGGATGAGATCCCTAGTGGAGACTACGATACAGTACTTGAGCATACTGCCGCCGCTGGTGCAGCTGCTCTGACTGTAAGAAGCCCCCATTCCGTCACTGATCAAGTAACTAGTGAAATCTCCTTACACTGACTGACTCTTTTCAGCAGCCTCTCCACAAGAAGCGCAAATTTGCCGCCCATACTGGTTCAGCAGATGTTGGGATTGAGAAGCACTTCGTCGCAGGGCTGCGGGCTCGCAAGCGTACACCCTCTCCACCATCGCGGTCGTCAACAGATTGTCAGATACGCATTTCCGTCTTGGAATCTACTCTTCGAATCCTGAAAGACAAAAAGAAGGAGCTCGAGGATGGATTAGCTATGAAGAAACGAGCACCCGATTTTGGGTTTGGTCGAGTAGTCGATAAACCAGAAACCAAGGCCAGCTCTCGACATGTTACATTTGTAAACTACGACGCTAAAGAGGAGGAGAAAATGGAGCATGTTCGAAAGAGGCTGAAGACTTTGACGAAAGAGTTCGAGGTCGCAAAGGAAGAAGACGATGTGGAAGAGATGAAGAGGTTGACAGGCAGGATGAGCGGGTACCAGAGGGCGGTGGCGGAACTGATGGCGCAACTAGCTGAGCGTAACGCTGCAAGTGATAAGGATGAGGATGATGAAGAGGACGGCGATCTGCCAATGAGCGGAATGGAGGGATGAAGCTCTTTGACTCCTTATCACTTAGTATGAGCTTCATGCGATTTCGATGGAAGCCTGGCAGACAGCTGCCATAAACACCACAATTCATATGGTGTAATCCTTTTCGAACTACTGGTGTCCCCTACGTAGTCTGTAGCAGCGCTGCGCGTAGTACGGAGATATAAGTAGCTGGTTCAAGTTTTACCAGGCAGGCTACGGAGTTGACCGAGGCCGGAATGGCACTGTGCAGTACATTACTAGTAGTACGGAGTACTCTGTAACCGTGATGATTTTAACCTCGGGTAGGGGGCTGGGGCTGGGCAGAGACTGCCTTCTGCAACGCAATCGTGCTCAGACTGCCGGTCACCACCGGGGCACAATTGCGCGTCACTATCCTCAGGTGGAAGGGTGCAAAGCATGAGAGAGACGGGTCAATTGGAAAGACACTTGGACACTGATCATACTGCAGATCAAGAATTCGCTCGTACCATTTTTGTGCTGTCCTCAATTCGTCACTCGCTTTCCCTGGTCGCGTATCAGCCGCCTGCGGCAACCAATCCCCCAGATCCCTCAGCCCCATTTCTTGACGACTCGCCTTCCAGAGTGCTTCTCCTTCGTGTGCAGCTCGGGTGTGGCTTGCTGTTGGATGAGGGCTACCAAGTCTCGTCTCGATGCTGAGGCGCCCATCTGGCTCTCCCATCGAGGAACGAGCTGATTATCCTTTCTCTGCGGAAGCCATACTTAGCAACCAAAGGAGGCAACCGGACGTACCCGATGAATTGCTACTTGAAGTGTCAAGACAGGATGAGCAGTGGCTCAAAAGAACAGAGAGCGGTGAAACCAGTCCTAGAGCGAGAACGTCTGCAACTTGGAAGAGACAATCTTCAACTGAATCGACCACAGAAAAGAAGCATACGGAGGTGACAATGCTTCCTTCACCTGGGCAAGGAAGGAAAATTACCATGAACAGACGATCAGCTCGGCAACCTCAGTCCACAAGCCCGTGGTCATGTTCATTGCTGACCATCGTCACCGCTGGCCTCGCAGTCTTCTTCCTCCTATCAGTTGTGCAGTCATTTCTAAATCGGCAGGTCGATCCGCAAGGATGCATTATGTCTACGATGAGTCCTACCTACATCAAAATGTCTGGCTTCGATACCGAGCACTCACGCTTCGCTACAAAGTACTCTCTTTATCTTTACCGAGAGGAAGGGGTGGATTATTACACCGAGGATAATATTGGTTTAAGAGGAGCACCTGTCCTCTTCCTTCCAGGAAATGCAGGAAGCTACAAACAGGTTCGATCGTTGTCCTCAGAGGCTTCACGGTACTTCCACAATGTGGTACAGCATGACCAAGAAGCCATTCGCGCTGGCACAAGCAGTTTGGACTTCTTCATGATTGACTTCAACGAAGATCTTGCTGCGTTTCATGGACAGACCATAATCGATCAAGCGGACTACGTCAATGAGGCTGTTGCATACATACTCTCTCTGTATCATGACCCTCACAGATCCAGACGAGATCCCCGTCTCCCCGACCCCAGCTCGGTTATCTTGATTGGACATTCGATGGGCGGAATTGTAGCAAGGACAGTCTTAATCACACCAAACTATCAATCAAACTCAGTCAATACCATCATCACCATGTCTACTCCCCATGCCAGGCCTCCTTTATCTTTCGATTCAGATATGGTCAAAACATATCAGCGAGTGAATGACTACTGGAGAGAATCGTACTCGCAAAAATCATCTAGCAACAATCCTTTATGGCATACAACCTTGATTTCGTTTGCAGGGGGAGGTCGTGACACAATGGTACCTTCAGATTATACGAGTCTCTCTTCTCTAGTGCCCGAGACACATGGTTTCACAGTCTTCACGTCTACTATACCAGATATCTGGACTAGCATGGATCATCTTGCAATTACATGGTGTGACCAATTTCGAAAGGTCCTGATCAAATCCCTTTTTGAAGTTGTGGACGTTCGAAGAGCGGCGCAGACCAAACATCGAACTGAGCGGATAAAGGTATTTCGAAAATGGCTGTTGACCGGCTTGGAAGCAGCTGCCCCGAAGACATTACCGTGGCATGATCCCACCGTCTTGTTGACCCTAAGCGATAGTTCTAGGTCAATGATCTTGCAGTCAAGCAACCTCACTATCAGGAGACTGGGCGCAGCGGGCCAAACAAATGCACAGCTACTTCCTCTCCCATCTGGTGAGGAGGCTGATGGGAAGCTAATTACCATTCTGACTGACCAAGCCATGGACAAGCTTGGAGATCTCGAAAAGCTTGAAGTCCTCTTTTGCAGCATCTTTCCTTTACCACATGGACACTCTTCCACCTTGCTTCCAGTAGAAATCGACCTATCTGATGGCAGCCCTGGGGCCACGCGACTTGCGTGCAAAAAAGCTGGTGGTGATGCCATACACCTACCAGCTTCAACAAGGACTTCGAAGCACGCCTTTGACCAAGCTTCGCCTTTCACTTACCTTCAGTATCATGCAGCAGATGTTGAAGAGCACCAATTCCTAGCTGTCGTTGACAAAGCCAATGATATAAGCGATGGCTGGTTAATTGCTGAGATTGCAGAAAAGTCGAGAACTTTCATGGTAGCTGATATAAGCCTGAAAAGGCTGTTGATGACCGGCCTTCATGTCGAACTACCAGCAGATCGTCCGTTAATGACAGACATAAGAGTGCCTGTGCTACACTCTAGTCTTTTAGCATACTCTTTAAGATTGGGCAATCTAGGATGTGGTAGTGCCACAGAACTCTTCACTCCTCTACTTCGTCAATACATCGGCCAGCCACATGAAAGCAAATTCTTTGTCAACTTCAAGCAGGCAGACATCAGTCTTCACGGTATTGCGCCATTCATGCCACCAGCATTGAAAGGGGAGGAATTGGCAAGTGGAGTTTCCTTTCAGCTCTGGACCGACCCTACTTGTGACGCATCGTTAAATCTTGCGTTGAAGGTTGATGTTACTGGCAGCCTGGGTAAACTGGTCATGAGATACCGTACTCTCTTGGCTGCTTTCCCACTGATGATTGTGGCAATGGTTCTCCGGAAACAATTTCGAGTATATGATGATACCGGTATTTTCATCACCTTCACTGAGAGCCTGGACAAATGTCTGCGGACCTCGTTACCAATTCTTTTCCTCGCCATGACTTTGTTTGCAACGTCAGTGGCCCAATCACCCACTTTTGCCTTCCGGTACAATCAAACCGCGAACTTGACGGAAGCACTGGTAGATTACACGCAGAATGATCTCTTCCTGGGCTCATCAGACACCTTTTTTTGGTTCCTTGTGCCTCTGACTGGTCTGGTCAGTGTTGGTGCCTGCATTGCAATCAACTATCTCGTCCTTGCCGTAACCTACCCTTTGTCCATAGTTTACTCCTACTCGACCACTAAATCTGGCTATATCAAGCACGAAGAGCCACAAACAGTCATTTGCTCCACCTTTGTACCTAGCACTCCTCGGCGCCGTGCGATCAACACCATCATTCTCTTAGTGTTTGTGGCTTTTGTCATACCATACCAGTTCGCATACGTGGTGGCTTGTATTGTTCAGCTAGCAACCTCGACGCGGGCGTTGAGGTTTGCTCGAGAAATGAGATCAGCCACTCTGATGAACTTCTCCAACTATACACACTCCATATTCATTCTCATGCTGTGGGTTTTGCCTATCAACCTGCCGGTTTTGATCGTCTGGATACACAACCTATCCGTCCATTGGCTCACACCATTCTCCAGTCATCATAATGTCCTCTCAATCATGCCATTCATCATCTTGGTTGAAACTCTGACGAGCGGCACCATGATTCCGAGGATTACGACGAAGGTCCGGTACCTGACTAATGTCATATTCTTCAGCTTGGCGGTTTTCACGGCCATGTATGGTGTCACTTATGCTTATATGCTGCATCAGTTGGTCAACCTAGTTGCGCTGTGGCTTGTCATCGTGCATTATGCATACCAAAGCGGGTTTCCTCTGAGTGGGCTCAAGGGTCTTCTCGAAGGAGACGATGATACAGATGTGAACGCTGATGTTAAGAAGATGCCGTGAACCAAGCTTCATTGGAATTCTCCTCGGTGCCTTCTTCGAAGCTCATCTTGTGGGTTGGAACATGCAAGATACGCGATAGGCATTTAACAAGAGGCTGGACGGAATTTTGATTTTACGTCTAGAAAGCAGCTGTCACTGGATGCCTCAGCCTCGGCATTTGAGTGACCGCACCGGTCCAAGTAATCTCTCCTGCACCAACGGCTTTTCAATATTCAATACACCCGTACCGTTCCAGGCCGGATCAAACACGATAATATATGATATGGGTCAGGATCGGGACCTGGAAGAGAAGGGTAGAAGTACCCCGTACCTGGAGGCACACGTGTTGATAGATCAAAGAGCTATTAATGTTTATTAATGTAGATAATGTGGAGATGAGTACATTCTACTTCTTTTCTGCGCTAGGCTTTCATCTTCTGGAACGTGACACGTAATTCTACACAGCCATGAGAAAACGCCTGCTTGCGTTCTGCATGCATGCCCAAGAAGGCGTAAGGACAAGGTGTTGTACCAATGAGACTCGAGAAATCGAACCTCCACCCAGTGGAGAGCGATGTTGTGGCTAAGGCTGAGGTCCTGGCATTAGCTGAGGCCTGACGAGGCTGTAGACTTGCAAGTTTTGGATCTCGTTGATATCAAGTGTGTTGAAAGTCCCACTACAGTAGAGTGACTTAGACTGATACCTCTTCTTGTGCTTGTCTCCTGCTTTCCGTCTGATCTATCTTCACATTGTCCGGTCTGATGTGATGATTGTGCTTCTGCTACAGATTTCACCCTGAGATCGCCAGCTCTTCCCCTCGTCCAACCTCAAATCATCCTGGGGGTACCGAAAGGTCGACTATACAGCTTTCATCAAATCCTCAAACCCACTCATACCAAGGACGGAGACACCGATAGGAAGTCGATCTGCCAATGTCTGCGGTGAAGACGTACCTCCTGCCTCCCAATCTCGATTTCCTTCAAGAAGGGGTAGTTGTGATTGCGAATATAATGCCTGATCCCTTCGAGCCGAGGAGGGTTCTCGCTCTCTGGATCCGAGTGAACTCAGACCACCGTAGACGAACGGTGGTGGGTCTTGGGTATATGAACAGTCGGGATAGCATGAGCTCAGCTCGCGGCGTGTGATCTCTATTAATTCGGCGCCACTTCTGCGCCTGGACAGGTTCCTGGTCAAGGTCCAGGCCATCCTGCTGCGTCACTTCGGATTGATGCTGTGCGGCATCTTTGGCTGGAGTTGCATCGCTTTCGGGGTTGCGTGTCCGTTTGCCGCCTTCCGGATTGAGATCTGCGATCTTCTCCTCCAGGAACTTCATCACGTTTTTCAAATTGTCTTGATAGCGTCGTTCCGATTCCGATTCCGATTGAGATACCGATACCGATACCGATTCCCATTCCCATTCCCATTCCCATTCCCATTCCCATTCCCATTCCGATGCCCCTTCCAAATCCTGTTCCACTGCCATTTGGTAGACTGTTGCAGCTGCCTGAAGTGCACCGCTGAAGTCATCTGCGCCCTTCTCTATCAGGAAATCCATTATCTCTTGAGATCCCCTTCCTGCTGCCTCCCTTAGTGCACCATTGTAGTCATCTGCACCCTTCTTAATAAGAAGTTGTACAATCTCAATACGTCCAAAGCGTGCCGCTGTTTGAAGTGCCTTATTATACTGATTTGCACCCTTCTTAATAAGAAGTTGTACAATCTCAATATGTCCAAAGAGCGTTGCTTCGTGAAGTGCCTTATTATACTGATTTGCACCCTTCTTAATAAGAAGTTGTACAATCTCAATATGTCCATGGAGTGTCGCTTTGTGAAGAGCCTCATTGTACTGATTTGCACCCTTCTCAATAAGAAGTCGTACAACCTCAGTCTCTCTGAAGATGATTGCTTCAGAAAGTGCCTTATTATATTGATTTATACCTTTATTAATAAGAAATCGTACAATCTTAATTTGTCCATAGAGTGTCGCTTTGTAGAGTGCCTCGTTGTAGTGGTTTGCACACTTCTCAATAAGAAGTCGTACAATCTCAATATATCCATTAGAGATAGCTTGATAAAGTGCTGTATGATACTGATTTGCACCCTTCTCAATAAGAAGTTGTACGATCTCAACATGTCCCAGGTCAACTGCAGCTTCAAGTGCACTGTTGAAACCACGACATTGCACATTTGCGTCTGCACCCTTGTCTAGGAGGAGCTGTGCCACTGTATAGTGATTTTTTATGGTAGCATATAACAATGCGGGGTTCCCCTCATCATCCTGTAAGTTGATGTCGGTTTTCTCGGACTCTAACAAGACTTCCACGAGCTTCTTGTGGCCGGCAGATGCAGCGAAGTGGAAGCCAGTCCAGCCTGGCATTTTGTAGTTGTAGTCTCTGGGAATCAAATACAGGCATTCAATGTTCCAGTAAATCGGAAACCAGATTGTATAACGTGGAGAAGTAGTATTAAGAAGTGTCAAGCATAAGCTGAACTCTTCGCTGCCCTGACCCACATCTGCGATTCGAAGGTGCTCTGGCCAATTCACCGCCGAGTAGTCCATGAAGTCGTAGATTGAGTTTTGGTAAATGCTTCCTTTGTCGGCTTCTTCGTTACTGTCGACCACTTGGTGGTCTCCCGACTCAATCTCTTTCTTGTCCGCAGCCTTTACTCGCAAGTCCTCCGGCGAATCTTCGGCTAAATCGTACAGTTCGCTGGGATCACGTTCCTCGTCCTCATCATTTCCTGTGAGCTCAGCATCTAGGGTGGCCTCCCAGACATTCGATACTGCTCCCGTGTCTGCGTCTTTCCTAGGGTCTTCAAAGTCGTCCAAAAGAAGATATCGCATACAAGTCTTTGCCATGATGAATTCACAGTACTGTTGAGACAGAGACTTTTTCCACAGGCCAGATCCATTACCCGACTTCAGATCCGTCTTCAAAAGAAATTCTTTGGCCGTTTGGTGGAAAAGCTGTATTCTGGAGTCTGAAATATATACGAACAGACCACAGAGATTTCGAATCCTTATTTTAAGGTGTTCCCTATCAAGGTCTAGGTCTTCAAAGCAGGAACAATCATCCTGACTTGCCAGGGCGAGAGCCACGTCCATTTCTTTCAGAGTAAGGGGCCTTGTCGCACCTACGATTATGCTGAGGAGGACTTTTGCTTCTTCTTGATCTGTGCTTTTGTTCAGAATGTTCTCATAGGCTTCGTCGACTGATTTTGGGATTTCTGCAACGATCTTGTTGAACTTTCTCTCAGTCCTTTTTAGGCTCTTGCGGATTTCTTCGAAGACTAGGTAAAGCCAGAGGTATGTACGGTTACTTGTTTGCTGTAACCGTGCTTGTAGCTTTTCTTGAAGGTTTTGTCGGAGATCTAACTCAGTTGAAAGCTTGGAGACCCAGGCACATGTAACGTGGTCGATCTCAGTGCTAATCTGCTCGTTCTCTTCTTCTCCAGCAAGTCGGATTGTTGGTAACCCATTTGTGATTCCACAAAATTGACGCTCGATGTCATAATATGGACGGCTTGTCACAAGAAATCTCAGACTTGATTTTCTTGGAGCTTTGCTGACGGAATCATTGTAGAAATCAGTGAGCATATTAATTAGCTCTTGCCGTCCTTCATCAGCACATTCATCAAGAGCGTCCAATACACAGATAACATCGCCAGCAGCAGGATCGGTTGCGGAAGAGACTAGGATTCGCCAAAGTTCCCTGGTCTCTTTTTGCAACATCTCTTTTAATATGTCCCAGTGTGGAAGTGCGTAGTACAGCAGCTGAGGCCGGTAACTGAAGAGTTGATGTAGCAACGCGCAAAGAGCAGTCGATAGACTGTTTTGCTCGTCATTATCCTTGAAGAAAAAGTAACAGGTTGAATATTCAGGGCCCTTGAACTCTTTGTCAATCAGTGACTTGGAGAGTACACTCTTGCCACACCCAGGGTCGGCTGAAAGCCACAGTAGGTCGTTACGTGTGTTTTTCAGCCATGATTTATACTGACCGTGGTTGAATACCCACTGACAAGTGCCTTCAACACGATCTGGATTACGGTCCTTATGTCTTTCATACTCGGAGGTTTTGAAGACTTGGTGGCATTGCCGATCTCGCTCATCTTCATATCGTGCGTTAACCTTCTTGTTCTGTTCGTTCGTCGTTGCAAGTAGCTTCGTTGCGAGTTGATGTGATTCAGGGTCTAGACTTCCAGTCAGATACTACTTCCGTATGAATGCAGATTGTTAAACCGCAACAATGAAGCTTAAACTGGCTTGTATTCTGACCACGTTGCAAATGGAACAGTCAAGGAAAAAATGAGAACCATAGATCTTCATGTTTTGAAGATAGATTATTTCAACAAAAGGCTTTACAGACCTGCGACTTGAACAATCCGCTGTTCTAATTTTACTTTGTGAGCCGGTATAATAAGCAAGAGTTCTTTGGCGTAAGCCGCGGCCGTGATTGCTGCATACGGTTGCCACTCCTTGTTTTTGTGGGAATCTGAGTAATCACAGATGCCTCTGATAACAAGACATTTGAAGTGATTCATGAGTCCTGCTGCTTCCATCTCAAAACAGAGCACCCCCAGATCCTCGCCATATTTTGATCGAGTCAAGCCGTGCTTGATGACCTGATTCCCCGAAGCGATGAGACCATAATGAATGCGTGGATCATTTGATTCACGGTCTCGTCGATCAATCAGCTCAGAGATGTCGCAAGAATCACAATTGGGAAACGAATCTGGGTGATTGTAATTCGCATTGAACAATCGATCTTTGCCGCGGCTGGGATAGCCATATTTTCTTGCCATCTTAGGGTAATTGGTAGACATCTGCTTAATGAATAATGGAATTTTGCTATCTTCCATTTCATGAGTTGCCTCCAATGTGCCCAACGCTGTCAATACCATCTGAGGAGGCCGATCTAGGGAGCCTGTCCTCTCGAGTCGACCTTCTGTTATTGCTTTACCCAGATCATACTGCACCACCCCACTGAGTGTTCCTTGTGGCCTGCTGACAACGATATCCCCAAGTCGAATGTCACGTTTAGCACTTGGAACGCCACCTCCAATCCCGACCATCAATCCAAATCGGGTCTCCTTGAAACTGTGCAGCATTTGCTCGGCTACAACAGCAGCAGATGTGGTTCCATAGTCCGGCAGACATGCGATCACGATGTTATGCTTCTGTATGCGACCGAGACAGTAATTGTTGTGGTCGGATGGATCTTGCTCTTGTGGTTGGTCGTGTATCTCATCCAACATGGCTCTTGCTGCGGTCATCTCCAGGGGAAGCGCACAGATCCATCCCACTTGGTATTCGCTGTTTGCCAGCGCAGGCGCCTTGGTAGGAGGCATCGAACCCAAGTAGGTATCGTACTCGAAGAGGAAGATAGCTCGGAAGGGAAGGCAACTCGAAGAGGAAGGTGAGGACAGCAGGCCGTAGCAGAAGTTCGGGGTCGCTTCCGGCACGATGGCAGAGGTTGAGCTTCACAAATAAGGCATCTTCGACAATGACAGTGAGCGAAAAAGAAGTAAGATCCGACCAGCTTGAAGTGCAAAGAAGGCTCAGAACTCGGTTACAGCACCATTCGCCTGGTGAAAAGCCAGAAAAGCTCATTCACATTGATGGTACATGACTCTAGCATCTAGAGTCAAGGATATGATAGTATGAACAAGTCGCAATTTCAAAGTCAGCGAGAAACTCTGCAGGAAAGCGGCAAAGCACAGTGAGGCTCAAGGGGCCAGGCGCCCTTTTACAGCCAACCATCGCATTGGACGTGAATGCATGCATGCATGCAGGGTCCAAGAAGTGCAACATAATTACCCATTTAGAAGCCTGTACTGCATGTGCAGCATCGATGTAAATACTACCGGGGGGGCCATAAGTAATGTTAGCTCCGCACTAGTTAGTAAAATTCTCACGAAACGCCCTCTTGACAGAACCTCTGTACGGCACTATGACCTCATTGCTCTACGCCTTTTTATCGGTTCTACGCGTTGCATTCGATGAATTTCGATGAATTTTGTATAGATTCTGTTGAATTCAACGAATTTCGCGTGGATTCTATTGATTTGCTGTTTCTACATATACGAATTCTACTCCGAATTCTGCCAGAGAGGTGCCATGCAGTGATGGATGCAGAAGGACGGCATACTCAAGATTAGAAAAGAAAAACAGACTAGTCCTAATTGAGCGATTTGCTGGCGTTCTATCTTGGCAGTTACATGATGTAACTAGCGTGGAGCTAACATTACTTATGGCCCCCCCCGTAGTATATTTTGATACTCAGTCGTATTGCTGTTTCTGATTGTGAGACGTATTATCATCATCATTGATGCTAGAGTTATTCTTGAATAGGAGGAATGATCAGTGATGATCAGAGGATACTTACTGGCCAATTTGCTCAGCCTAGCACTGTCTCGTCATTTTTGATAGTGGGCCTCAGGAACTGAAGCCGCTTCTTATCAGATATTGAACGTTTCTGTGGCCGCTCTGCAAGCATGCAGCGTCTTACTACGCAGTGGCTATCCGACCACCATAGCTGGACCTTCTAGGCTTCGCCTATGCAGTAAACATAGAATCACTATGGCCTGTAGGAATGCTTTAAGCATACAAGAAGTGGACGCTTTGAGCGCGCTTCAATTGTGCACCCGCGTTCTGTAAATATGCTCTCAGCATGCAACAGTAGTCATGCTCCATCTTACTGCACTCCGGTCCGCCGCTTAGTGACAGATTTAATGTGGCTCCTGGCATGACTTGAGATGTCAAATTTGAATGGACGTATTAAGTGGTACTTACGAGGCAGAAAATTCCCGTAAACATACCACGTAGGCAGCGGCACCAAATCGATCATCACGACCAGAACCCTAACTTAGACATTGCTTTAAGCGTGCAGCAACATTAGACCTCTTAAACGTATGACAATTGGCATGTCCAAGCGCGCAACAAGTAACCTCTGGGGAGTATGCTGAGCGTAGAGTAACTGACATTCCAACAGGGGTACAGTTGGTCCTGGAGTAGCACAATCCAAACACACAAACAGGAATCGGTGATGGTCAAGAATAAGCAAGAAATGATGATGATAATGATAGATGCTCATTGGTAAACAGACACCCATATCTTTACAGTAGTATTTGATATTATGTAATCGCTCGGTGATTCTTCGACTTTCACATGTCGGCGCTGCTCCACCATTCGTGTCAGAGAGGTCCACCGCAGGCAGGTGACCGCAGGTATCGCCATGCTCTTATCTCGTTCTCCTTTATGCTTGTTCGGTGTTACGAAAAGAGTCCACTCTGCACCTACGAAGCTGGCTTCGTTATTACACGGAACGTTTCTGAACTCGCACCTCTTTGCGCTGGAGTATGGATGAAGGAATACAAAGGCTTCCACAACCCAGGCACCATTTTATTGACCTGATAAATCTTGTTCTACACATCTGGTCTCCCTCAATATGATTGGTAAGGGGACAATCAATTGCAAGCATAATGATACTCGCTGACCCATTCAACCGCAGACCATGTTCTTGGGAGACCCTCATCCCAATTTCGCAAAGTACAAGTTTTCGCGGTCGTTTCCTTCTGGTCGTTCTATCTCTTGAGGTACGCCAACTGGATGTAAATCATGCTTCGCAGCTAACCATATCCCAGAGGCGACATACATGGCCCACCATTTATACGAAATCTATCTGCTCGTCTTGGGAAGAGATTCACCCCTTGGCAGACTGTTGTCCTGACTCTTCTTTGGCTGTATGTCGCTCGCAACTTTGCCAAAATAACCGGCCTTGAATCACCCGAACCCTTAGCGAATCTTTACAGTCGAGCGTTCTTCCGAGCAACATGGATCACAACTGCGCTGGATGCAGGGTTCTGGAGTGCTATGAAAATAAGGAACAAAAAGCTGAGAGATATAGCGTCGATTATTTTTACAGTGTACTACCTGATTGCGGCCGAGCAAGCAGATGAGAAGGTACGCAAGATTAGGGCGGTCATGACGGTTGACCATTTGCGAGTGGCCTGGAATAAGCCGAACACTCCATACTTGTCTTTTTTCACTCGGATAATGCGCCCACGCTTTACACAATACAAGCCCAGGAAAATTCGCATTCCCAGACCGAGATCGTCGATGTACAAGGAGCCAGTGAATGCGTGGATGTACTTCAACGGAACATTGGCGGAACTGAGAACCCAGACCAAGCTCGTCCTTGATATACCAGGGGGAGGTTTTGTGGCTATGGATCCAAGGACAAGCGATGACAAGCTGCTGGCTTGGGCGGGAAAGACAGGCTTGCCAATATTGAGCTTGGACTACCGGAAGGCACCCGAGTATCCCTATCCGTACGCACTCAACGAATGCTATGATGTCTATCATGTGATTGTCGCAACCAGAGGTCGATGCATAGGCATCGAAGGAGAAATCTGTCCTCGCATCGTGCTTACAGGAGACAGTGCTGGAGGGAATCTTGCTACAGGAACAGCATTGATGATCATTCAGTCTAATATGGCAGGGGGGCGCGGCATGACTCTCCCATTGCCAGCGGGCCTCGTTCTAATGTATCCAGCACTCGACATGAACATTGGGAGCTGGATGACTGATGATCAAATGGCCCTAATCAAGAATCCTCGAACAGCACGGAAACACGAGAACTTCATAAAACGAAAAAGCGAAGATATAGACAATCGTTTCACGCCCAGCACACCCCGTCCCTCTGATGATGACGGTGAAAGAAACACCAAACATGACTTCTTCAGTGATCGCAGCAGCAACAACAACGACGCAAAAACCAACAATCACGACATATCAGCATCCCAGAAACAGCAACCCAAACTAGAAACCGACGTCGAGGCCCAACGCCAGGCCGTCGCTGTCTCAAAACCCCAACCTCTCAAGACCCGTCTTGCCGTCTCGTCCATGATTTCTTACTTCGGCGACCGCATCCTCACCCCGGAAATGATGCGAGCCATGATAATTCTATACGTTGGTCCTTATTCGCGTCCTGACTTCACGACTGATCATCTACTCTGTCCCGCCGTCGCACCCGAACCTCTCCTCACGCGGTTTCCAAAAACGTACATTCTGACGGGTGAGCGGGACCCGTTGGTTGATGATACGGTTCTATTTGCGGGCCGGTTGAGGCAAGCGAAGTTACGTCTTTTCCAAGAACGCAAGGATCTTGGTCTAGAGAAAAGTAATGCGGAATTCGATGAGAAAAAATATGTCGAGGTTGCGCTGATTCCAGGAGTCAGCCATGGGTTTGTTCAATTCGTGGCCGTTTATCCCGAGGGTTGGAAACACATCTTTCGGTGTGGGAGGTGGATTGAGGATCTTTTTGCGGCGCCCCCTACAGCTTTTGAGTCGCAGACGAGTCTAAAGGGACGGTTGGGCAACGCCATTGGCATGGCTGGGGGTACGGGGAGTGGACTGGAGATTAATGGCAGTGTGAAGGGAGGAGCGAGTGGGGGTGTGACAGGAAATGGAAGTGGCAGACACCACAGACGGATCGGCACGGCAGAGAGTAGTGGCGATGAGGATAGACCTTTAGAGATGAGCTCCATCCATCCCAGTACCGGCACACCACCAGCATCACTATCTCTTCCAGAAAGGAAAAGCCCGCCTGGACCTGGCACCACTACTGCCAACTCGAGCGCCTATGCAAACTTTAAGCCGACATTGATCCCCAAGCCTGCCGGCCTGAAAATTAACCTCGACGCCAAAGACGCGAATAGCAATCTCAGGAAGGGGCACATTGATATGTTGCAGGATGCATCTTCCGAGGAGGAGCGGAGAGAGAGACATCATGCACGCACGAAGAGTGCAACGAGTTTGGGGAGTGAAGAGGATTTGCTGAAGAGGAGGATGCAGGGTCTGACTGTGGGGTTGTTGGGCGACGGGTAGGACTGAAATTGATGAGGAAGGATGAGTTGAGATGTTGTGGTTTATTTGCGTGTGGCCGATTGACTAGTATATAGGGATGGACTATCAAAACAAATATGCAATATTCATCTTAACAGAAGCTACTTGGTTATTTACCTGGTTCCCTGTTTTGCTGGCGGAGGGTGCTACTTCTCCTGTCCTGATATGGGATCCATTCCCTCCTCTCGTTCTAATCAAACACTACGTAGATGAAGATGGCTGACATCTACATGTCAAACCCTCTTTGAACTATATAGTAGCAGCAGCATTGACAGCAGCAGGCTGATTATGCATCAATATGGATGACTACAGTTGAGCTGCAGGTCAGGGGACGAGTGAGTAAGTGCATATGTCAGGAGCAATCACACATAGGGAGGAGGAGAGGTAAGCGGACCTAACTAGTCTCCGGGATTAATTGATAGGAAGTGAAGCAGCTCGTTAAGCCCATGTAGTCATGGCGATCTAAGAAAGGGTTAAGAGGTTCATGAATCGTATTTTCCTTTTGAAGTAGATGCTTTCCGATCTACTTACTTCGCATGAGGATTTTTCGACGAATCCTTTGGGCTGTACTTAGTACAGCATGATTCTACTTGAGTATGCGAAAAGACTAGGAAATCACACACTGGCCTCTAATACCCTCGCCTTCTGCCGCGCCAGCTTAGCCTTTCTTGCCACATCCAACCCCCTAGCCTCCATCTCCTGTGTGTCTTTCGATTTCTGCTTCTTGCTCTGATGCTGCTGCTGGTGCTGATCCACCCTCAAACGCCCCTCCTCGCGTTCCGCCTTTCGTTTCTTCCTATTCTCCCTCTTTGCTGCGACTTCCGCCTCCTTCTTCTTTCGTAACTCTACCTCCTCCCCGTCTTTCACGACGTCGTCATCGGCAACCCAAAGATCATCGGCTAGCCAGATGGGGAGAGCGGCTGAGTTGGGCGATTTGATGTGGATTCCTTTGACGTTTCGCCAGCCGCGGGCGACGTAGCGGTCTATCATGGCTGATGCCACGGTGGTGATATTCTCAGATAGTTGGGTGGGCGTAAAGCTTGCTCGGCCAACACGGACAGCGGCGTTGGTGCCAGGACGGAGGGAAACGGGGACCGCATTGAGGGCGGATTGAATTTCTTTGGCAACAATGGGTGGGGAAGCTACTGTTGCGGATTGGTCGCCTGCTCGTAAGTTTTTGTTGGCAGGCTTGACTCGTTTGCCGTCGATCTTTTCTAGCTGTGCGATTCGGATAGGGATAGGTCTCTTGGCGGAGTCTTTGTAAAATATCTTCCCAAGCGTATCTACTAGCCTGGTGATGATCCTGTCGTCGGCGAGAAAGACATCGTGCTCCGCTAAAAGTTGTCTTCGGCTCTCGAAGGAATGGTATTTTGCTTTTAGTTTTGAGTAGCCGATCACCTTCCCAATTCTCGCAGATAGAGAGGCAGGAAATGTTGGGTCGGCCACCACATCTTTGACGGCGCGTTGAGGATCAGCGGTGATGAGACAGATGCTGAGGGAGGGCGAGTTGTTGATTGAATGTGGTACAGGGATTTTGCCGGGTTTGAGACGATTCTTGTCAACGATGTGCTTCTTAGTGGTCAGGGTCAACCATATTGGTGGGTCCTCGGCTAGCTGCTCCTCGGAATCCGAGTCACCATCGTCGTTGTCCAGGAGGCTCTTCTTTGCTGAAAGGTCTTTCAGCCGTTTGGCCTCTTGTTGCACATGCTGTAGCAGGGCAGTGGAGGCTTTCAGTGTCTTCAGGATGGTTAGCAGACGAATTGTGTAGCACAACGCATTGACGTACTTGGTCGACATCTATCTGATAAGGCGAGGGTGTACTTCCAGCAGCTTTTGAATCAGATGTGATTGGCGCCATGATGGAGTATACAATCCGGAATTTCTGGGTCGGTTTTCTATCTGCGAATATAATTTCGACGATTTTTCGAGGAATTTAGAGTTGGGACGTAACTGTACTAGGTTACTACTATTAGTGATGCGGATAAGGCCGCTTGACCTTCCTTGATCATCTACTACATAAGCTTGACACTTCCATAGATAAGCTACTAGTACTCCGTAGTTCGGTTAATTTTGGTACTCGAGTAGTTATTCTTTGCTTGGAGTTCTCGGTTCTCCATCTACATAAGCGACCCCTCGCTGCCTTGCTAAACCAATTAATGTGCTTCCGCTTCTGCCTGGTGTCTTTCTCTTGAAAAGTAACCTACTCGATCTGTGATACTAGTAGGAGAATATTATGAGGAGGTTGGGTTCCCAGCATCGGATCAACAGCCGCGTTTCGCTGGCCAAGGAAAATGAGGTGGCTCGGTACTAGTAGTAGGCAGCCCACATCGTCGTCGAATTGGAGATGCAGTTGGATCGTCTATGCTCCAATTGAGGTGTCTTTGTGCATGATTGCCCATCTCCCTTCATGAGACACATGGCTCTATCTGTGCACTATGTTGTGTCCGCTCTCACTGTAAAATCTCATCACATATACGGAGTAAATAAACTGAGTTACAGAGAAACACTCTCTCTGACAATGTGTTCAGGTATGACCTAATTGGTGATTTCTTGGAGAAGCCGGAGTTAGCAGACTCTCAGCCAGACGTAACGCGTCTATCCACTGCACAAGCGTGCCAAATGTCTCCACCACCTCATTCCCTGCCCTTGAAACCCACACCGACCCAAGCGTGACCTTCTTCATACTACGTACACTCTCTTTCCCGACCTCACCCTGATTCATCTTCCATAATACTTCAAATCGAAGGTGACACTGACATGCGGGCCTGTCAGTGATTCTCCCCCACCTTGACCATCAACCATCAACCATCAGCCACCGCGTCTGGAGGTTGATTTCCAACTTGACGCGCCCTTCCAGTCAAAGAAGCTGAAGTGAACAACTCGGCTTCTCTACACCGACTACTATCTGATTCCTGTGCCGGCATGGCACCCTCACCCAAACGAAAGATATCCTCTGCACCCCCAGTGGCCGGCGCCAAAAGAACAGCCGCGTCTCTCCTTCCTGCCTTCGAACCCTTCTCATCGTCACCTGCGCTTCCACGTGGCATCAAACGATCTCGTGATGCCTTGTCTGAGATTGTAACCTATCCTACACCTGTCCCAACATCTTCAACCGCAGTTCCATCCTCTTCTCCTCCGGCTCCGTCCAAGTCACGTCATTCATCCAAGCGTGCTTATTCCACAGTATCCGAACGTGCTCCTCTTGCCGATGTCCCATCGATCGAGCTACCTAGAGATGGCAAAAAGATACTGATGGGACGGTCGAGTGCGACTTGTGACTATCAGCTCTCTTCCAACCGTTTGATTTCCAGAGTACATGTTACAGCTTGCTTCAAGCCTGCTTCGTCGAACCTCAAACAAGACCAGATTGAGATCACTTGTGCTGGGTGGAATGGTATAAAGGTACACTGTCGTGGAAAGGCAGTAGTGTTGAGCAAGGGTGATACTTTCACTTCCTGTCACAAGGGTCTAGACGTCATAGTTGACGCACAAGATTCTCGTATCTGTGTCAAATGGCCGAGCAAGGATGACACACCATTCAGCTCTGGATCTTCAGATGAAGAAGGCTCTCCTAGTCGACGTCCAAGATACCTCAAGCGCCACTCCACTCCACCGAGCCCACATCTGCCCCAGCAACAGATCGCCTCACCAGTCTCACCTTCGCCCGCTGTCCAGCCCACTCCAAATGTCTCCATTCCGTCTTCTCCGCCCAGCCTACTGCAACCGACTGGAGGTCCGGTCATTGTTTACGAGGACAAGTCGGTCTCTCCTCAAAACACTCACCATAAACCAATGACCGTGTCTCAAACAACTGTCAAGATGTCTCAACCAGCCAGCGTTCTGCTTCCTCAATCTCAGGATAGTTTACTTAGCGTGTCTCAAGACTTCTCCGATCAAGATGAAGAGAATGACCCGATCATTCACTCCTTCGGTCCTTTTGGTGCTAATCTCCTTCCCCGCATGGCATCGTTCACCACTGGAGAATCACTTATTACCTCGCCACGCAAAGAGTCTCGAGCTCGTCCTGAGCCTTTGAAATCCTCAGCTTCACCTTCTCAAGCACGGAAGAGATCCAACTCATTCGACCTCAAGACCCATGTTATCAATCAACTAGCATTCTCACGTCTTTCTTCTACTCCTCTGTCTACTATTCTTAGCCACTTTCCCGATGATGCTGGAGATTGCTCCGCTGAGAATGTGAAAGAGGTCATCGCCCAGACCAGTTGCATTGGGGAGGTCACTCGTGAAGGCAAGGATGCTGCTGGCAGACCTCTGGAGAGCGAATACTATTACATTCCCGATGAGGACGGAGACGAAGTGAGACGGGAAGCTGTTGTCAACGAACTTCGGAAGCCTGGGCTGCGAGCCTGTCGTAAGCAGCACAAGGTTTGTCTTGCTACCCTCTTCTATGTTGGATGCTAATTTTATTTTCCAGCAATACTTCTGGAGAAAGCCGAAGTAGTCGTATGATGGTGGATGTCGATTACTGTGTACCCACATTAGGGTCGATGTTCTTGCGAGAAATCCCTGTTTTCTTCTCGATTATGATACCAAAAGCCAAAGAGCTCAGTATGGCGAGGTCACTGTTTCTTTCCTTTCGATTGCCTTGCACCAAAACCAATCACCTGTACACAGTATGGTATTATTTCCAGTTGATCACCTGCTGTCGGTCGAATACATGAGCACTCCATCAGTCGGAGAACGGTGGATGAAAAGCTCTTGATAGCTAGCGATCAATATACCAAACATCAAGCTCTGCGTTCTTCTTATCTAACGACCTTTCTCAAACGGCTCTACCTTGACGCCTGTTAGGATCATTGGTGTAGCAGCATTGGTAGCATCTCCGCTTCCGTATAAATGCCAAGGTCTTAGTTTTACTGCGAGACTCGAGTCTTGTTCCTCAAATAGACCCTGTTCTACGACTAACTTAGTAGTTGAGCGCCGCATGAATGCCAATCATGTTGGAGCCAAGCTGTTGATCGAGTACGGACCCGATCAATCATCTCTGCTGGGCAACATGGATGCAGTTACCTCGGACCGGAGGAGATCTCCAGGTGTGGAGGTGGAAAGTACATCTTTACCCGACTGCCTGTCTTCGGCTTGTCTTCCACGCTGCACTCCCCCGTGTCACTTCGATCTTCATCGGACAGACATCATGGTTTCCACGTTGTATGCGTAGTAGCACTACTGCTTGAGAGATATTCCAAATGGGCGGAGACAAGCCATGGCCGCAGGTGCCGATAGGCAACAAGAAGTCAGTCTCTCCATGCTCCCTATTGTATCAATCCGCCTTTGTATTGAAGAAGCGAAAATGACAGCCATCTGGTGGCCGCCGTGGTGATCATTGGAGCAGGCATATCTGGAATGTGCACGGCCATTGATCTCATCAAAAGAAACAATTGTCGCAACTTCGTGATATTGGAGAAAAGTGGAGGCGTGGGGGGTACCTGGCGGGATAATAAATACCCTGGCTGCTGCTGCGATGGTGGGTAGAAGTTATTCCAAGTTGATGGGAGAATATGCTGATATATTGCTCAGTCTGGTCACAACTCTATAGCTACTCTTTTGAACAGAACTCGGGTTGGACAAGAGAATATCCAGGCCAAGAAGAGATATTGGTACGCAAGAAATCTGCTTCCTTTAAGGGTCCTGACCATAAATAGGACTACCTTATTGGCGTTGCGCAAAAGTATGAGTTATATCGCTATATCCGCTTCAATACCTCTGTGGAATCAGCGCAATGGGACAATGCAGAAAAGAAGTGGAAGACTGCCGTCAAAGTGACTGCCTCAAAGGATGCAGAGTTTGGGGACTCTTATACTCTGACGTCGGATTTCCTTGTTTCGGCGGTCGGACAGCTCAATGTCCCCCGATTTCCCAATATTCCAGGTCTTGATGAGTTTCAAGGCACAACGATGCACAGTGCAAGATGGGATTGGTCCTACGGTTTAGAAGGAAAGCGCATTGCTGTGATTGGCAATGGTTGCAGCGCTGCCCAGATTGTTCCTGAAATCGTCAAAGCTGCATCAAAGCTTACGGTATATCAGCGGACAGCAAACTGGATCATTCCTCGAGGTGATGCACCCATCCCATCCTTCAAACGTGCACTATACAAATATGTGCCTCCTATTCGATGGCGACACAGAGCAGATCTGATGGATATCCGAGAGTCGTCCTATGCTGCGATCCTCGATCATCATTCTCAGCTTGCGGAAATGTTGATGGATCTAAGCAAGGGTCTCATGAAAGCACAGCTGCCCGATAAGCCGGAATTATGGGACAAATTGACCCCGAATTATCCTATTGGATGCAAGAGAATCATCAGTACAGATGACTACTTTCCAGTTTTCAATCAGGAGCAGGTATCTCTTGAAACGCGGCCAATCTCGAAGATCACAGAGAAGGGCATTGAGGTTGATGGTAAAGAAAGCGACTACGATCTCATCGTCCTGGCGACGGGTTTTCGAACTGTAGAATTCATGCATCCGATCAGAATCACCGGCAGTGCAGGCCGTTCCATCTCCGATATTTGGGCTAAAGGTGGTCGAGCACTATACGGCATCACGGTCGAAAGCCTACCCAATTTTGGCATGCTCTATGGTCCCAACACCAACCTTGGCCACAACAGCATCATATTAATGATTGAGGCGCAGTCAAAGTACATCTGTGCCCTGGTGGCTGAAGTGCTTCGAGCTCGTCAAGCAGGGAAATCGCTCACCATCACACCTAAGAAAGAGAGGTTGGAGGAATACAACAACGAGCTACAGAAGAAGCTTAACACGACCGCCTTTGCACATCCGAGCTGTAGATCGTGGTACAAGAATGAGGAAGGGGTTATCACGAACAATTGGTCTGGGACGGCGATCGAGTATCAGAAGATGCTCGAAAGGGTGAGATGGACGGATTATGAATTATCAGGCAATGGAGCAGATGAGATGCCAGAGACAAGTTTGAAGATACCCAGAGTGGTTGAGGAGACGTACCTTAGCTATACCGTGCTGGCTTTGGGGGTAGCTAGCATGTTGGCTGCAGGAGCAGGATGGGCCCTCAGGAGCTCGGGAAGATTGAGAGTCAGGTGATATGAAATCTAGTAACCCTGAATGTACTGATTCGCCACAGATATGAGGAGATATCTTATAATGATCCGATTTGATGCTCCATGTTCAGTTGATCTTTTTGTGAAACCTGGCAACCTCTGGACCCCCACCTTTTCGCCAGCATAGAAAAGGGACACATCACCACTCCACAAAAGGACACTTAATTGATGTACCCCACTGACTAGCATATCGGCTACCTGCGGTACTTACCATAGTAGCTTAGCGTTGCGTTGCTTGGCAAGATGGCGTCACACTCTCGGAACTTGCCATCCGTGACAGCCTTACACAGTACACAGGCAGACAGGAACGTGTGTGTCAATCACGTTCAAAGTTTGCAAGGAGTCATCTGTTTCAGAATTACCTGCTGAGTCCTCCATCCTACCACCTCCCATAGTCTCCCCTACCTGCTCTTGAAACCATACATTTGGTGATCTTAGCCATCTTTCGAATCAGCCTGAGCCTCAAAACCCCCGCATCTGCCTATCATTCATGTGTCTTGCCCTCATCGTCAACCTCCGAGCACAAGCATAAGTTTCAAGATGCCTATGTTCAACGTACGTATCCTCGTCTTCCGCGTCCCATAGAATAGAAGCCTCACCAGCTCCATCCACTGGCCCATTCCTCAGTCAACAACTTCCTTACAAATTCTCCTTCTCACACCCCTCCACTCCTCACCATCTTCACCAGTCCCGTCACCTCCAATCACCTGTTCCACTAGTCCACTCCCCAACCGAGGCTTATTCTGTTTCCAATCACCTTCAGGTAACACTCAAAGAAAACGCCCACGAAGACGAGCTTAAAAAGGCCAAAGACAAAAGCAAGGAGCAAGGTGGAGAAATCAAACATGAGTTCAGCTTGATCAAGGGCTTTACGTATGTCATCACCTCAGCAGTGCGCTCTTGCCCATTATCATCTTGTCCTCCGTATCCTCTCGTTGGGATCTACAGCCTCGTTGGTCAGATACTTACTGTTGTTTCTTCTGGTTGTGATAGGGTCGAGTTCCCACCCGACAAAGTCCACGCTCTCCAGACAAACGAGCACATCCATGTGGAGCAGGATGGGGAGGTTAAAACGCAGGGCTAGATGGCGTTTACAAATCCACATCAAAGAAGATAGCAGGCGAGATGGCTGGCTGGGTTTCATGGCGGCCTCGGGGAGCACTTGAAGAATTGACCAATGAAGCGGTGGTTGCTGGACCTGCAAGACATTTCTTACACGGCAGAACCTATTTTCATGATTTGCTGCGCTGCGCTGTGGAGAAGGGATGGGAGTGAGACTGCGGGAGACACGGTATGACATGATATGATACACGATGCGCGAAGAAAATGCGTTCCACATCTCAGAGGACAGAGATCAGCTAGATAGCTACTGGTCCAATGAAATCAACGATTCAGCTATCTGTGCTACTGCTGCTGTAACGTGTGATTGGTACTTTATCACCAGCATTTTGGTGAGAGATGAGGAGCCTTGAGTAAGAATTATCGTGTAAGATGGCATTAATCAAGATACCCCTCCTGGGCCATCAGAAAATGCCATCACAGGAAATTATTGACTAGTACGGAGTCACCTGAGCTCATCTGTCTGCAGACGAAACCGTGTTCACGGTGACCATGACTGGTTACTGTTGGGTACCTTGGCGCTGCTATTTATGCATGTGAGATCTGTTCAACTCATTTCTATCCCGTGTCGATTTTGGCCAGCCAGTCAGATGATGCCTTGATATTCGTTACCTTCGCGTTCTCTGGCGGAACTAGGCTATGCCATGAACCTGACTCTGGAAATCAATTCTGGAGCTCCACCCTTTCAACGTGACCTTCTCCTTCTCTTCTTCCTCCTCCAGCGGTGCAGTGGTTTATTCCTGGCGGAAAACCTATCATATCACATACTCATACACCATATTCTTCCCTAGCGTAGGTTGCATCTCAAAAATCAGTAGTCCTTCCATTATAGCTCCACTCGCCCGCACTTCCCCATCTCAGCGGCTCGTTCTTCGGTCCCCCCACCTCTCCCGTCTTCGGATTCACATCGCCCTCAAACTCCGGCGTCGCGCCCCTCCGCACCGCGGGGTGCAACTCCTCTCCACTGCCCCTTGCTTCGATTACGCGGTTTATCTCTTGTTCCTCCTCTACGGGCGACTGAGAATGGATTTCTGAGGAAGTGCTGGATTGATGTGACTCTGATGCTGAGTTGTCTGTGCGACTTGAGATCAGGCCCTCTGCGTCTGCGATGTCTGACGGGTTGGAGTCGGGGGATTGGTTTATGCGTGGCGCGGTTCTACGCTGTGAGGCGGGGGTGTCTCTGGGGGTGGAGAATGCTCCAGTGGATTGGCGTTGGAGGGCTTCGAAGAGTTCTTGTTCTTCCTTTGGGAGTCGGGGTGGGGAGGGGCCGGTGCGGAAGGGGAATTCTGCTGGTGAGGAAGATTGGGGTCGAGATGGGGAGGGGTGGATGTGGTGGCGTGGGGTTGTGGAGAGGAGGCGGTTCAGGGTGAAGAGGGAGCGGTTTGGAGGTTTCGGTTTGGAGGTGCATATGATCGAACGAAGAGGAGTGAGTGTTCGTGACATGTCTACTGGTTTAGGGGATGCTGTGTTTGGTTGGCAGAAGGTAGTGGTGGAAATGAATGAGCAATAAATTGACAGTCTTCGGGCCCATATAAATGACGATTTCATGCCGAGGTTGTGCAGTTTGCAGCAGATATAAACATGCCAAGGCTTTATCCTACACCAATTTTTCTGTCATGAGATTTCTGCCCACTTTTGGAAATGGCGGAAAGGTGACTACACCACTATCAGAAGTCATGGCTCTCTATGACCAAGAAATCTGGTGAATCAAGTAGCACTGCTTTTGGGCCTTGGTCAGAGGCTTGGATATGTGAATCTTTTCTGGCGGCTCTGACGTGTCCTGCCTTTTGTCTCCGACCTGGCTCTCACCATGTTTCTCCCATCAAGCTCTCATGGAAGGCTGTCCAAGGGCAAGAGTTCTTTGAACACCCCTGCTAAATAAACTTTTCTTCATATGATTAACTTACATGCCTCTCACAGGAATCTCCGGGAAGAGGTGATTGGAGACATGAATTCTCCCTGTTGTCCTGTTTGACCTCAAACAAGCATTCACGGTGAATGCTTGCAGGCTCAATCTCTTAAAGTCTTCACTTTCTGATCTCTATTCCTGCTTATCTCTTCTTGAACCTGACTCTCTAACCCACTTCCGTTCTCTTATCCATCTGGCTACCCCAATTGGAGACTCCAGGCTAGTGGTTAGCCATTCTTTCTGGTACGGGCAGTATCCATCGATACACTCACTACACGCCACTGCCCGGTCTTCAAGTCCTCAAAAATGCCTGCTCTAGTACCCGATCGATCCTCTGGTCTGCGGGTCGCCCATTCGACTAGCGCCATTGAGCTGTTGACGAGGAATGAAAAAATGTTGAAGATGTTCAACTCCAGGTTGAAAAGCTTGGTAGGCAGAGACCTGAGGTCTTCAAAACATGTTGGTATGAATTGTGCTTCTGCTTCTCACTTCTAGCATCGATGCTTATGGCGGTATGTGATCTAGTCAGTTGTATCACGGGACTTCTCGCACGCTTACTCCATATCGTAGAGTACTTTGTCAGCGGCTTCAATATCGTTCTTCCGGTCTTGGCCCAAGCCCTCGAAATGCCCGAACAATCACGAACATGGCCTGCAAGCATATTTCCTCTTATTACTGGGTCCCTTCTGCTCCCGGTAGGCCGTCTGGCGGACATGTATGGCGGCTACGTCCTGTTCTAGGTCCTTCTGCTCTTTTGACTACCACATGGTTTGCTCCAGTGGCTGCAGGAGGTCTTGTCCTTGCTACAGTCGCGGGTGTCATATTACATCTATTGTCAGGAACAATACTCATGATCCTCTCTGCTTCAGGTAATGTCCTCTGCGTGCTGCTCTTCGCAGTCATTCCAAAGCAGCCTAATTACTGGGCATATGTCTGTCCAGCCATGATTGGGGCCACCATGGGGGTTGGTATTGCGTACAGCGTGAGCAACGTGTTCATCACTACCCAGACGCCCAGCAACAAGCAAGGGCTGGCAGGCGTCTTGATCAACAGTACCCTGTTTCTCGGAATCAGCTTCTTCTTAGGAATTGCTGATATCGTTGTTGCACAGACTGTCATCTTGGACTAAGGAAGAGCTACAAGTTGGCTTTTTGGTTTGGCACCGGATGTGCTGGTGTTGCACTGCTGCTGTTGGTTCTTTTTGTCAGAATTGATAGAGAGAAGAGCGATTTGACATGCGATGAAAAAGCTGAGCTCGAAAGTGAAGTGAGCCGAAGGTCACTAGTCCTTCCAACAAACGGCGCCTTTGACCGCGGGGACGGGAGCGAAATCGATATTACTGCGTTGCCTGCAATACGATGAACATTACACTGCAAAGGGCCAGTACATTTTGCGGCACAACCAAAAGTTTACTTAGACCTGATACATCGGATTGGGATAAAGAAGCGTCACGGAGTTTAGAGGTATCTTGTCTTTCTGCAGCTGGTATCTAGCAGGACTGCAGCTATTGCACTGGCTGAACTTAATTTGGCTCTGGCATATTCTGCTTTACGCTCCTGCGTGTTCAAGCTTGAGAGCATCTAGTGTTATTGGTTATAGATCATGGCATTTCGACTATTTACTCGATCTCCTCACTCTTCAAGTTCATCGCGCAATTGCAGCAGGATGTCCCAAGAAAATACAACAGCGGATCGAAAGCCAAGAGAATCTTCGGGTTACGGATCGTTCTAAAGATGACAAAATACGCCGCTTTACAGGGGAACGTCCCTAATTGCAGCGCTCGCACAGCTTGGGTCTGTCCTTCAATGGTCAGCAGAGCTGTTCTTTCTGCTGCCCAGAATCCGTCTGAAGAAACCCGGTTTCTCTACATCAGCATGCCCAGATTAGCTACTAATGCTCGTTTTTCCCAGTCGGTGTCTGAGGGTCACGTACCTTCCAGGGCACTTTCTGCCAGCCCCATAGCAATACTGCGTTTCCTCTGGGCTTCCTTCTTGGCCGCTTCCTCTGCCTTAACTTTCTGCTTTATGGCATTGTAATATGCTATCTCTGCATCCGATGAAGTTAGGTCTTTTGCTCCGGGCTTCGCAAGGCCGAACCCAGGCATCTTCAGAGAGGTAGGAGATGAGTGTATCAGTTTCGCTGGTGAAGTTCCAGATCAAGACCTGTTCCAATGGTTCATCAACGTCTAAAGTCAGGTAGGTTTATTGCTGCTCTGGGTTTTCACGGAAAGGTAGAGAGCAATTATGAGAAATCCAGAAAGCCTGGTCACGAGGAGAACGCTCTGTACCCATGTAAGCCCTTTTCATGATCAGCATACGCTCTCGCACATTGATTTAATGAGATAACTAGACTCGCATGAGGGATTAAGTACACAGTGAGGCTGTGCCGCCTCCAAACTCGTATGCACTTTCCCTAGTCTACTTAGCCCTCTTCGTCCCTAGCACTTGCTTCAACATGGTTTTCTTCCCTGACGAAGACATCAATGTCAGTCCGTTGTATCGATCTTTCCCATCTCAGAAGAGAGACACATCAGCCACTCCACCAAAAGGACAGCGCTTGGGGGTTTCGAACCACACTTAACTGATGTATCCTTACTAACTCGCCCAACCTCACAGGAAGCCGCCCCCGGCCGATCAGAAGACAGAGACAGGGCTTAGTTCAGAGCAAAGTACTAGCAGTAGACAGACCGACCAATAATTCCAAGAGAGTAAATAATGGGAATCCAACACAGCCGAGGCAGAATCTCCCGTGGCACAGGCATTGCCAGAAGAGGGACACATCAACCACTCCAACAAAAGGACAAGCCTTGTGGATTTCGAATCACAATTAATTCATTCATCCTTATTGACTACTTCCGCATACCCTGCTTTGCACATCCTGGTGCTTCTGACTCAATCAATAACCTCATCTTCTCTGCCTGTCTCCTCTTCTCTTCGTCTGCTAGAACCTTTTGCTTAAGTGCGTGGTAGCCTGCCACCTCTGCGTCGGAAGAGGCAAGGTCGTATGGTCCTGGACCGGGAAGGTGGAACTTCGAGAAGAGTTTGGATTGGGGCATCGTGGTGGAGAGGAAAGTAGTCCGGCTAATCCTCGGTCAGTCCATACTTGGATCAAAGAATCCCTGCCAGGAGACTGTACCTTTCTTTATTAAGTACAACAGAGATGATATTGCGAGCGTTGATGGATGTTGATACAGATTCCTCGAGAGCGAACTCATTTTTATATGTTTCCTTGACTCGTCCGATAGAATGGCATCACAAAGCCCAATGCCTTGACGAATGGCAACATCAAATCCATAATCAAGCTGATTGGACGTCGTTACGCTGCGTATCGCGCTCTAGCGGCCAGTGTCGATCAGTCCATCCATGTGGCATGACGCAGAACCCCAAGAACTCATCCATCGCTTCGTTTGCGCCTCGGCAAGAACTATTATTCAAAGGCGTTACGACACCATGTGGCTGATGCAGCTGTTGTGCGATGGTTGATCTAGCTTGCCCTCCGATTGAATGCCACGCTTGACAACTTGCCCAGAGCAAAGCGCCATGGATGGAAATGGTACTGACGGAGTCGTCACGATCCTCCATTTTTACCAACCCCAACCGTCGGTCGAGGAAGGGTTGCATCGCGTGGTACGGCCTGCTCTACACGCTCTTCTGCATGGCTGAGTCTGTCGTAGCCGCACCCGGCGCAAGAAATGCGATGAAGCTCGTCCATCCTGTTCCGCCTGTGACGACCGTGGCATAGAATGCTTGTACCCAAGCAAGTCGTCCAATGGGCAGCCTCAGCCTTCTACCCAGGTATGCAACAACATCGATGATTTATAGTTAGGCTCACTCGAGATTGCTAGATTCTTCCCCGAAAAAGTCAGACAGTCCACAGCGATGATGTGGCACCAAGCGACCCTCCGTATCTTGACTTCTGTTCTCCGTCTTCGATCGAAGGAGCCGGTCTTCATCACTTCCGAAGCCACTTCCTGGATCTGATATCAATCTCGTACCACGGTCAGGACGATCCGTTTCTTACCTTGATTCTGCCAATGGTGTCCGATTCTCCCCTTGTTCGCTTGGCAATTGAGGCAACAGCAACAGCACATCTGCATAATCTCGGGGTCGCTTCTACCGAGGAACCAATGCGCTTACAGTCCAAAGCCCTTAGACATCTATCCGATGCCATATCAGTGGTACATACGCCAAATGTCACAACCACATTCCAAGAAGAGCTCGCTTCAGGAATTATGATCCTTGTCTACTATGAGACCACGTCTGGCCTTTCTGCTGAGACGGCTCGCTGGCATCTTTCGGCAATATATACCATCCTAACTACACTATCTGTAAGCAATCATGAATCCCGACGTTTAGACTTTCTAAAACGACTATTTGCCTATTTTGATATCTTTGTATCACTATCTCTGGGCTTAGAGCCTTTGGCTAATGCCCGAATGTTTGAATCCTTGCTCGATACAGACTTCTGTCCTGCATTCGGGTATGCAATCACCCTTTACCCCTGCCTCCATTCTCTTGCCAGCCTACAGGCATGGCAGCATGAAATACAAGACTCCGGCCTGGACTTCTATAGCCAATCCGTGCATGAGCTCGAACAAAGGCTTCAGTCTTGGCAGCCTCCCATCGTTCAGCCGTGCAAAACCGGGATAAGAAACTCGCGAGTCTGGACGACGGGTGTTCCCATAACATTCCAACAGAATTTGACTCACGAGCGTCTCCTCCAAACCGCGTTAGCTTTCCGATCAGCAGCTCTCCTCGTTGTCTCCGAGAAACTGCTCCCCTTGGCCTCTCCAACGTCTCCGCAGCCATCATCTGCTTCCCATACACACTACACCGAGCTCTTCGACCATCTCCTCCGCCTGAATGTTCTTGCTCTCACTTCCCCACCTCAAACCACGGCTTCATCCAATGAGCTCCCATCAGACTCCCGCTTGACTGCTAGAAACACATCCCTTCAATCTCCACCAACGGTGCCCTCCGCCTTCACGACCTTAGCATCAACCTGCGCGCCTCTCACTACCATCACCTGGCCACTCTATACCGCCGCGCTGTACGCCAAAACCGCATCAGACCGCGCCGTGCTGTCCAGCATCTTCAAACGCGTATACCAGCGGCACCGAATGGGTGTCGTCGGCGCGGCGAAAAGGCATGTGGAGGATGTATGGAGGATGGACGAAGGCTACAGCACGATGAATCCACCACTGCTGGCTTGAGTACAATGAAGATGGACTTTGTCATGCTTTTATCCCTTGACTGGTTGAATGGCAACCAAGATATTCTGCACGGGTTAAGCTACAGGTATTCTATGACACCGAATATAGGTTGCTAGCTAGGGTGAAAGACTTCTTGGATCAACGCTGTATGTGAGAAACGATTTCTGTGATACCCCCATAGTAAGGGACAACACCCTCATCGGAAATGAGAGGCCTGGTATTTCCGGAGTAAGGAGCGACTGCTATAGATTAAATCTAAGTCCCTGGTACTCCATTCCATATCCTATCTCGCATCCAGTTCATCTACCCATCCCGCCATGCCAGCAAAGAAATAGCATTCTGTCCCAAGCACCACCATTCCATCCAATCCTCTTCTTCCCTTTCATTGACCTCACTTCATCCTCGTCACTTCCGTCCATCCATCCATTCGTTCATTTCCCCCAAACCTCGCCCACAAAATCCACCACATCCCCCCACAGCAGCTCGGGTTGCTCCAGCGCCGCGAAATGTCCACCCTGGTACACGTTAACATCCAGCCAAGCCGCAAACAAAACATGTCAGCCGGGAAAAATCTCTCCACGGTGTTTTTGTTCGTCTTGTCAAGCATTAGAAGTTGAGGTGGGGGGAGAGAGCTGACCTTGTCATGTTTCCTGTACCAGACGAGGTTTCCTTCGTTCGCGGCCCAGCTGCGACCCTAGGCGGAGAAGCCTAGGGGTTTGGATTTGGCGTTGGGTTCGGGTTCGGGGGTGCTGGTTTGGGGGGTTGCATCTTGGGCTTGGGCTTGGGCTTGGGCTTGAGACGGGGGCGGGTCAGATGGGGTGGCCTGGAAACGATGGGCGTCGTTCGACGACGAAAGGGCGGATATTAGGGTGCCGACGCCGTTGGGGAGGTCCTGTTTTTGAGATGCTTAGGGGGTGGTGAAAGGGGGGGCGGGGGTGAGGAGACATACCTGACGATACGGGTAGATGCATCTCTCCATCGTGTTGGTGAGCCAGTACAGCGTTATGAATTCGATGATGGTTTCGTCCGATGGGTTGACGTCGCTCCATTGCAGGAATTTCTCGCCGATCCTGGATGATTGAAGGAATGCGAGTGAGTCCACAGTCTCGAAATTCAGTAGATTCGCCTTACCAAGCCATGAGAGCCATCGGATTGCTTGCCAGGACGAGACCGATCGTACTCGGTCTGGTTGCGTGTTCCAAAGCATAGGCTAGACCGAGATTGAAGATTTCCATACCCCTAGCTATACCTTGCTTCTCCGAGTCGGTCAGGTCATCCTCCGATGTGTTTGGAGGTGCTTTGGCCACGATGAGCAAGTTGACTAGTGCGTGAAGTGGAGGTGTTAGTATCCTACACGACTTTCCCTCTTATCTTGCTTGTCTGGGAAGCTATTGAAGGGAGATCTTGATGACGTACCGTGGACAGCTGTATAGATCACATACGATGTCAGTACTCGCTTCGTGCAGCCTCAGAACTGAGGGGTGAATAAACTACCTTTACAGCCAGGATACATTGCACCCATAACCCTAGCGACAGCGCTGCCGAGGTCTCCTCCTTGGGCAACGTAGCCATCTCCAAAACCAAGCATTGACATCAGACGGTGAACAATTCGCGCTATATCCCAGTACCCGGAGTCCTTGCTGGTGGGTGGGCCGGAAGATAGAGTGTAGCCGGGCAGAGAGGGAACGATGACATGGTACGGGAGCGTTTCTGGGGTGTGCTTGTCTTTCAGCAACTGCAAGATGGGTATGAACTCCAGGAAGCTGCCTGTGTAGAGTATTAGAACGTGATGGGGTCCCATTCAGATGCTTACGCATTAGACGGAAATATCCATACCTGGCCAACCGTGCAGCATGACCAACGGAACGGCATCGGCTTTCTGGGAGAAGAGTGCGGCAAAATGAATGTCGTACTTGGTGCCATCATCATCTGTGATGCTGGCTTTGAAGTGAGGGAAAGAATTGAGCCGGTCTTCAGTCTTTGACCTGAATTTCGAAGTTTTAGAGACTTAGATCCATACCAGTGCTCCTCTTTTGGACCCCCTTTAGCATCCGGACTTACCAATCAAATTTGAGCCATTTCTCTTTGATGTTCTGCATCCATTCACGATCGATGCCGTACTTGCCATCTTTCTGTGAGTTCTCGAAGGTTGGCACGGCGATCCTGGAGTGCTTGATCAGTGTCTTCAATTCTTCTATTTCGGCCGCTGGTGTATTCAGGGTGAACGGTTTGATGGCGTGGTTAACGCCGCTTGGGAGTGTTGAGAAAGACATGATGTTGTAGTGGGTGAGAGAAGCCCTGGGGTATGGAAGACATTTTAAACTGTGGATGGAAGTTTCGGAAGGATTAAGGATTTAGTGCTTCACCTTTACTCTCAGAACCAATCAACCAATTGATGCGCTGCCAGGGTTGATGGGTCGACTTTCTGAATTATGCTGGGTCACGGTCACTGTGTGACTTCCTTTCCGCAGCGGTGTGAGTTACCGCTTTGTCTTTCCACGTGTATTTCTGCTGGTCTAATGTCTTTAAGAGACTTGACATTCACTCAATTTGATCATCAAAGACAGCAAGTACTCGTAAATCCGACATGCGGTGTGCGAGTAGGATGTACAGGGGTTTGTTCAAAGGGATGGTGTGCGTAGTACGAATGCCAGGCACGCTTTGTAATGTTATCACTTGTGACCGCAGATCCAAATCCAATACTCGAAAAAAGACGCTCTAATTGGTCCATCGTACAACGTACAATTCCGACGCCGATGGGTAGATGACGCATACTAATACCATGCCTTAATACGAGCTTCCTCACACGAATTCCAGTTTCCGGTTTTCAGATCCTACCTATCTGTCGGAGTGCTACTTTAGATGATATATCTGATCAATGCTAAGATTGACTGGACAGGAACACGTCTTCGCTCAAGTCAACTTCGCTGGGCATACGAGGCACATACTCAAGAATGAGGGAGTTGGCCAACTTCAAGTTGTTTGGAAGCTCCAAACAAGCAACGGAGAGATGATAGATGATAGATGAGAGATTAGAGATTAGAGATAGGGCTCTCCGGTCTTAAAAGCAGCGTCAGAAGCGGCCCGAAATGGTAGCTTTATCGATAGTTAAGATTAAGAGATTTTCCGGCTTGCATGACGCACAAATTGGGATGAATTTACTTAAGCCTGTCCCCACCACCACCACCACCACCACCACCACCACATGTTGAGCTTCCATGCTGACCTTCCATGAATGAGAGATGCTTGAGACTTAACAGATAGTGTGATCTGCCCTCTTTGATCTTTCAACTTCCTGGGGGCACAGTTCACCCACCTGCATGCTTGGGAGATCGAAGAGAATCCCTGGCCCTGCAACAATGGCTCTGCAGGCTCCTTCAAAGCAGCTGTTATCCACAGTGCTTCGTGCCCACACTAAATCAAGCAGTCCAAGAGCATTATACCGCTTCGCCTCCGCTGTTGCTGTTCCGAAGACCTCGAATCTTCCGGAGGAAGCGCAGAGTGAAATACAGGTGGAACTATCAGTCCAGCTATTAGACATTAGACATTCCCGCTGACCTTGAATCCAGTACCAAGCATCGCTACCTAATCCAGATCCTCCCACAGACTCGGCCACCGGTAATTTCTTACGTCAGAATGCCCCGTATATGATACCGACATACGTTCGACCCCCTCCGATAATGGTGAGAGGAGAAGGCTGCTACATTTGGGATATGGAGAATAGGCAATACCTCGATTTCACGGCTGGCATTGCCGTCAATTCACTGGGACATGCCGACCAACGTATCTCTCGATTGGTTGCACACCAGTCAGAATTGCTTATACATGCTTCCAACCTCTACCACAACGCCTGGACGCCAGCCTTGTCGAAGTTGTTGATATCCGAAACCCAGCAACAATCACCAGGATCGTCATTATCGCAAGTCTTTATATGTAATTCGGGGTCTGAAGCCAACGAAGCAGCGCTAAAGTTTGCTCGGAAGGTAGCATATTCGAAGAATCCGGATTCGGATCAGAGGGAGATATTGTCATTTCATGGAAGCTTCCACGGTAGAACACTTGGTTCACTATCAGCAACTCCGAATCAAAAGTATCAGGCACCATTTGGGCCAATGCTACCAGGTTTCAAATATGGCGCGTTCAACGACATCGAGTCGTTGTCCAGCTTAATCACAGAAAAGACATGCGGCGTCATCATTGAACCAATTCAAGGCGAAGGAGGCGTCAACGTAGCCAGACCGGAATTTCTCAAAGCTATTCGAGAACACTGCAATCGAGTCGGCGCAGTACTCATATTCGATGAGATTCAGTGTGGCTTGTCGAGAACGGGTGACCTTTGGGCACATACCGCAAGTGGAGTACACCCGGATATCTTGACCACTGCAAAGGCCTTAGGCAACGGTATTCCTATTGGTGCCACATTAGTATCCGGTGAGACTGTGGCACCACATATCAAGACTGGTGACCACGGTACGACTTTCGGCGGGAACCCGTTTGCCTGCAGAATTGCTCATCACGTTTTCGAAAGGCTGGCAGCAGGAGAGATGCAGCAAGCAGTAACGCAGAAGTCAGAAATCTTCACCGACGCATACCATAAACTATCCCAAAAATATCCAGGGGTTTTTTCTGAATTGAGAGGGAGAGGTCTCATCCTTGGTTTTCAGCTGTCCGATCACGTAAAAGGAAAAGCACCTGAAGTTATTACAGCAGCGCGAGAAAGAGGACTACTAATCATTACAGCAGGTGATGGTGCTTTACGGATAGTCCCACCCCTGATCATTTCAGCAGACGAGATAAAAGGAGGTCTAGCAATTCTAGACAAGGCTATGGCGGTGGTCCTCAACAGGCCGGATCAAGTGCGCAGGACTGTGGGTCAGCAGGAGATGGGGAGATGATAATGGGTGGTAATCTCTACTACTACCCAAAGCCTGGCGTTTAGGGACCAGGAAATTGATGCATGCTGCTTTATCAGGGACAATAGGTGATATTAAGGGGAGTCGATGGTATCCACGGCCGGTAGACTGTACAAACCGGTTCCTAAGGTACCACTTCTGAGAGAGATTGCAAAAAGCAAGGCACTCTACCCGGATGTGCTACATGCTTAGAGCCGACGTGTTTTATCGAATATACCGAATCTACCGCTCCAATATCGAGCTGACCAAGACACTTCATTAGGCTTTAGGCTTTAGGCCACATGCCAACGATGCCACAACTGAGAAAACCCTGGAAACATTCTCGCAACCAGCTGATGGGGGCTCTCGTGATTCCTACTCAGCTGTTGAAATAGTCCCGCGGACCGGACCCTATCAGCGGAAATGAAGGGGACCCCATATTCGCGCAAATAGCCCTGGCCGTGTACTTACAGTTATCTTGCTGTAGTAGTTCATTATCCAGAAGCCACACCCTGCAACAAGTTAATACATAACCACGGGACAAGGTGCATCTCAAGCTTCCCTGAGTGGGAATTCTACTCATTCCCCAAAGCTGGGATCCCCCGAAACCTCACTTGATGACTTCATGCTGTTAAGCAATGCAAGGTCCCTCGGCCCAGCACGACCGACTATTCTATCGTTGCATACCATTCACGATACAAACCATTACTATATGCAGATTTACTGGGGGGCTATTCGCCGCTGTAGGCTAGAAAGCAGCCTGAAAGTTAGAACTGAGGAGATGGGCGTGTCTGTCTCGTTGCAGAGATGGGAGTTTGGCTGCCGAATCCGAATACGGCTGCCAGACAAGCGGACGAGCTGGTCCAAATAGGTCACCCGTTCACTGCTGGATGCCTTCCAAACTCGAGGAACCTGATGTCCAAAGTCGCCTACGTTACGCTATTGGTCAATAGCTGTATGTGATGATGGCAGCCGACTATGAGGGTAGCTTCTGCACCATCAGAAGCATTTGCCTCCAAAGCGAGTGGCAGGTCATTCTGTTAGCAACTGCCAGCTCAGAGGATACCGCACAGAGACGTCATAAGAGACATGTTATTATTTCCGATGTCCTTTCCAGCATCTTTGTGGGTGGTCATGCCTGTGGTGAGGCGCCAGGTGTGATTTTCAGAGCCAGCGCTGGGAGCCTGGGAAGATGGACGGTAGGTAGGTGGGTGGTACGAATTTTTAATCGTGCAGATGTTCTGCGTTCTCCATTCACGTTCGCATTCGCATTCGTGTGAGAAAAAGGGAAAATGGATATTTCCTGCTGTCAAATCACCCTATTTCAAGTAGTGTCAATAGGTGGGCAGACGCACTCTTCCATCCAGCCCACTTCTCCTATGCTGCAGACCTGCAAGGATCTAGCATGGCTCCCTAAATGCCTCGATCACATTGTTCTAATCCTGCAATAACTCTTACCAATCCGCCAAACCGCAGGTTCTGCTTTGGTTAAAAGTGGTTATCATGACCTAACTATACCACCATCTCGATCACCTCTCCGCTCAAACACTCCTGCGGCTAAGCTGACACGATGCTGTCGCTGTTGCTGTTGCTGTTGCGGAAAAGCGTGGCAGAAACGGCACTCCTCCTTATGTATAGCAGGAGACGGCATACGCCTAATCGCCTGCGGACTCATGGCGATGTCTTGTCGTCGTGTACCTGGCCTGATCGAGTACAGACTCTCATGGTCTGCAATGGGAGATAGATGTGTTCGAACAGCACATGCAATCGCAGCAGCAGTCATATTGTGTTCAGGTGATGTTAGACTATGCACAGTGCTGTGCAGCAGCGGGCAAGGAATGGGTCATGGCTTGAGCCGACCTGTGACTTATACTTACCACGTAAGCGCTGATAACCGGGCTGCGCCTCGGTTGATTGCCTTTCTTCATTTGGTGGCTACTATTAATTGTCAGTTGATGTCAATGTGCATACATGTATACATACCCTCTATAAGTCAAACCAATCTAGCACGCTTTCATATTTTTTCGAGCTGCCAAACTTCAACATCACAAAGCTTCATCACAGCTGCAACGCCGTTTCCCTACCGTGCATCCACATCAAAGGCTGGAAGACAGAAGCAAACATTCGGTGCACAGTATTACAAAGAGTACAAAGGAGTACAGAGAAACAAAAGAAGATGGAGGAAGATTCCGTGCCAAAGCTCATACCATACTATTTGATAAGTGTGGAGGAGAGTCCCCAACAGAAAGCGTTGAGACTATCATACAACTGGCGCATGACAGAGCACGGTTGGTTAAGAATGGACAAGAAGAAGAACCAGGAGCCCTCTGCACCTAAGGAAATCGCACCACAAGACTTTTTTGGCCAATGCTTCGATGAAGATGAAAATTGCTGGATGCAGTGCTTTGAGTTTGACAAGGATGGCAACATTGACAGCGACGATACCTACTTCCACAAAGTCCGAAGCGCAGCAGGCAACATCGAGGTCGATCTTGACAAGGTCTGTGTCACAACTCTTTGATTTTTTCATCGGTTCTTCTTTTAAAGAGCTGACCTTTCCACAGGCTTTGAGTCTGGTAGCCAATGTTAGCAAAGCAGCCGGTGCTATCTTCATCCTTACGGGCAGTCTAAGGCTTCACTTGTCTGGCTTCTTCATTGCCGACAGATTCTTTCTCACTTGTGCACACTTTGCAATATCAGCGACGGTCGAAGAAGCAATAAAGAAGAGTGGGTCGAAGATGGCGACAGTATGCACAGACCACAAAATCCGCAGTATTACAGCCCTTGGTATCCACCATGCTTAAGAAAAGTCGTTAATTTATTAAACAGATAACAATAAAACCGTCCATCTGGTCTTTAGGGACGAAGTTCGAGACTTCGCCATCTTCTGTCTAGACAAGGATCAGCGACCTCAATCACCTCACCTTGACCTTGATCAAAACTTCCCTGGCATAGACCAGCTAGACTTCATGACAGAAATTGCTAATCGACGAGCCTTTGCCATTGGTTATAACTCGAGGGCCCATGCTGCAAACTTCCCATGGACACGTGAAAACGTCATTCAAAACCTTACACCAGAGAAGAAACTACGAGTGCTGGCAACTTCGACCGTGGCTCCGGAATTCGAGGATGTCTTTCTGCCAAACCGCAAGACCCTCTCGGTCGGACGCCTCGATTCAAACCCGCCGGAGAGGAACGCAATCATGTGGAAGCATCGAATTACTGGCTGGCATGGCATTTCTGGGGCCATGATTGCTTGCCTTGACCAGCCATCGACAGCCGAGGCCAGGGTCCAAGTGCTAGGATTATGTAAGCCAATGCGCACAAATACAACCTCTCTAATCATGATTTGAAGTTTCTAACATGCTGCATCTAGTCCGTCGTGGTGATGAAGGAAACAAGAACGAGATGGTGCCGCTCACCTCCGAGATCATCAAAGTCATTCGTGCCACTATTCAATCATATCCATCATCCAATTGAGTGTAGCAGTCTGGGAGCAGCGCTGCAGATTTCTATGGGGTTGGGGGAAGGAGTGTGATACGATTTAATGAGCCAGGGATGGCGAGCCGCTCGATGCTGCTAAATTGTCGATAGCAAGGAAGGGGGGAAGTTGAAGTATGTGAATGATGCATGGCTTCAAAGATTGCAGCGTCACTTGTTGAAATGGCCTGATCACCATAGAAGACAGCATTCAGTAGCCCAGAGGCAGAGCATAAAATAGACTTCAGAACCCCGTCACAAATCGTCTGTGTTGGTGAACTGCAGAGCGAAGTAAGTATTGAACTGAGAGGCAGGGCATCCAGCGTCGCGTGAATATGTGATCAGCAAACTAGAGCAGTGGAGCATTTCAGCACATTTCTATAGCTGGTTCCGCTGTCTGATGTTCATTCCATCACATAGTGGGGATGAACCGCTCTCTGTAGGTATTGCTAAAGCAGAATCGACTACTATCCCATTTCTTGTTTGATCAGGTAAAGCTCAAGTGTGATCTCCAGACATTATGGGTGCTCACATCACACGAGCACCACGCGCTAGCACTGGCTAGAATTAATCGCTAACTCTGGCATAGAAGTAGTCGTGCCTATAAGTGATAGTTGAGTTGGTTGTTGGTGCTGATATATTCTGTAGTCTAACGATTTATATTGAGAATCAGCGAATGTTTTTTATGCCTGTATTTGGTCAGACTCTTTTGCAAAGTTTAGATCTTTACGCATTTATAGAGTCGTGCACCAGAAGTTTGTTAAAGTACGCTAAGAGATAGCGTGCCAAGAAGAACATCATTTCTGTAATGTCATTCCAACCATGTCTGGGGCCAAAGCCTATATTTAGCCATTAATGTTATAACAGATATCACCAATATGTCCCCTAAGCGACCACTATTCTAAGGCAGTTTAGCTTCAAAATCAGACACCTAGGTGCTAAGGGTCCTCTGATACCCTACTGCTTCAGCCGTCAGCAGGCCTAAAGCTTATAGAAGTGAGGTCAAATGACATGATAGTCAAGAGTGTACATCTTGGCAAGCTATCTCTTAGCGTACTTTAATAACTTCTGGTGCACGACTCCGTAGACTACTAGTAGTCTATCGTGTGTCAAGTTAATGGCGGAAGCAGAAGAATGTCCGAAGATTTTGAGACAAGTTCATTTCTCTACCCGCAGTTTCAGTGCATGTAAAATTCCTTCCACCCGAGATCAAATACCATGAGGTTCATGTGTGTCATACGAGCCTGGCAATGCATCAGCAGCAGATTAGTGAAACATACACCGATTCACTAGGTACAACTGACCAATCCGGAGAACTTCTTGCTGCCAGATAAGCTGATACGAGTTCGATATATGAATAATCGACAAAGTTCCGGATGTCAACTTTACTTGTTCCGCATCTTTACGTGCTCCTCTCTATAATCCCCTATTCCAGAGACTCGTGCACAGCGCTTACGGCAGAACGCTTTACCTGTAGAACAAGCCCAAGCCTAAGGACCCGAAAAAGATCAAATAACCTAGATAATGCAAAAGGTAAGGGTATGTGACTTTTTCAAGTAACATGAGCGAACAAGAGGCTGGTCGAGGTCGTAGTCCGGCTGGTCAAGACACACGAATCCCACCATGGACTTCGCCTTCACAACAACCCTCCCAAGATCTATTACTCCCTCATAGCAATGCTCCACAACACCAGGCCGCACCATTTGAGCATGCTTGCAGAGATCTTACGCCACACCAAACAGCTGCCCGTTCGACTAGCAGCAGAGAGATTCCAGATGTCCGAAGTCAGCCAGTTGCTCAAAGCAATGTGGCTGGACAGCAAGGTGTTGCAAATCCGCTGGCTGGTTTTACCAGATTGACATTACAATGCCAGACTACTCAGGGGGGTGAAGAGGAGCCGATTTCAGCCACAGGCAGAGAGCGTCTCACTGTCAGGGGTTTGCAGACCTCTCAAGCTGGCCCTACGTACCACCATTCTGCTGGTCCAGTTGCAGGTGGGAAACGCTCAAGACATCAGGGGCCGCACGCTGGTCAAGACAGATTCTTCTCCACAGCGGCCTGCACGCAGGGCAAGAACCCTAGTAAATCCATCTGCTTCAGACAGACAGACTTCTCGAACTGATTTGCATCAGTAACAAGCAGGAGACTCAACAAGAGGCGGCAAAGGTTTACCACTGCGGAGTGTGCCGGACTGACAGAATGCTTCGACTTTCAGGCAGTGCACAGGCTCTGCTGAAGGTAGAGGCGCTCGATATAGCCCAGAAAATCCACTACCCGCTCTTCTTTCGAACCTACCTCGCCTGGGGACTCAATGCAAATCGAAACCGGCACGTTAAGGTGATCGACCTCGAGTACGAGTGCCAAGAGAATCAGAATCTGGTCCTTAGCAGAAGATAGCTCAGAATATCACTCCCGGGTCAAGCGACTCGTGTCAGCCATTTTTCAGTTCGAACAGGTTTCCCCAATGGGGATAAATTAAGAGGATAAAGGCTTACTAATGAGAATTGAGTAAGGGGGTATGTGCTTTCAAACAGCGAAAACAAGCCACATACATACATACGTACATATCGGGTTTGGGAAATCCTTTCATCCCAAGTTGAGCGCGTTCTGGAAGCATTGGTAAACATATCTATCTGTATGGGAGCTGGTAGAATAATGGAAGTTCTGCCGAACGAGGCCAGAGAACCCCAGCGAAAAAGTAGTTATACTAAACCCCAGCTCGAATGGGATTCTGTATAGAATCGAGAACTGCAAGGCGTGCGGTGCCCCCCCTTCTCTGATCTGCAGAATGATATATAGACATATCCGATTCGGAGTGTGTCTCCATCGCTGCTCTCCCTCTCCCTCTCCCTCCAAGCGAATTGAGAAAAGCAAGAGCGAATGGTGGGAGACGAGCACAACTAACCACCCTCCCCTCCCTCCACGTCTCACTCCTTCAACCTTTCGCTGATAGTATAAAAGATCAATGAGCACCACCACTTATTCTTCATCGTCATTCCTCTCTGGAAGAAACACAGGCCCGAAGAAAAAGCACGCATCCATCTCGGGTATTCCTGAGCCGTGAATTCTCGGGCGATATCGCAAGAAAAAGGTAATCGGTGGGACAGCAGATATTGCTTCCCTTCCTTCCTTGCCTTGTCCCTCAACCCTCATGCTCTCGCGATTCTTCTCCGTCGTCAATCTCCATCCCGTCCCCACCCCGCCCCACAGACCCCCAGCTGCCGCTCTAAGCATCCGCTCAAACCTTCTCATACATGACATCAGACCTGACGGTATATTTCACGCCTTGCTCCACCTCCTCTCCACTGTGCACGAGCCCCTTATGCTGAAAGACCAGACACGCGCCCATCCGCGGATTAACATCGAAGCACGTCTTATCGCGCGCGGAGAGACGGGGAGAGAAGAAGCGTGTCGCTCCTCCTTTTAACCGCAGCTTCTGCGCATCCGTAGCCGTAGCTGGATCTCGATCCACCTCCCCCCCATCGACCTGCACAGCCTCGGCTGGACAAGGCGAGGAGGCAGCGTCCTCGCTGCCCTCCTCCCCCCCGTTAAGATAGACATGCACCGTCAGCCACGATATCTCCCTCCCGTCCGGCGTGACGTAGCAGCCATCACAGTGCTCGCGGAAATACATGCCCGGCTCATAGCGCAAGAAGCGTAACCGCTCATTCAGCCGGCTGACCCTCCACGTCTCGCCCCTCTTGACCGGCCCGTAGCCGGTGATGCGCGCATTGTCCTGCACCGTGACAATCTCGGCCGGCAGGTGTGGCCGGATGCGATGCATCAGCCGCTGCGCGACGGCGTGCGAGTCCCAGATGATGCGGCCGCAGTTGCGCGCCTCGCGCATCAGCATCTGCCGGCCGTAGCCGATGTTGATCTCGGCCGCGGACCAGGTCGCCGGCGGGCGGGTGGTGGATTCGGCCAGCTGCAGGAGCTGGGCGCATTCGCTCGCCGTCAGGAGGTTGGAGATCAGCAGCGCGAAGTGGTTGGCGTATTCGGGGAGGGGGGTGGTGGAGAAGTCGATGACGGTCGAAGTGCAGGTTGGTGGGGAGGGGGTGCTGAGGAAGCGGGATTGGTCGGCTGGGAGTGACGACGTGGTGAGTTGCTCTGAATTAGGTGTAGTTGCGTCTGTAGTGGGTGGCGAGAGGGTATGGGATGCAGCGGAGAGCTCGAGTGGGCCAGACATTGCGTTTCGGGCAGCCTGTGGCTGGTTTTGTGGACGGGGATAAGAACAGAGAGGATAGGAGATAAGAAATGGAGACTGTGGGGACAAGCACCGCAGGAGACTAGAAGAGATCGGAGAGCAACCGATGACCGCAACAAAGTAAATGCTGCCAGGCCATCTCAACGGTAAGAAACTGGGCGGGTTTGAACACAGAAGAACAGCAGACCTTGCCGCCCTTGTAAAGGAAGGCGGCAGGATTCTATCTAACTAGACTCTATCCCGATTCCCGATTCCAGATTCTAGCCTGGTAACTCAACCTTGAAGCAGTCTCAGTGAGCTAGTAAACTTGGCGAGTTTGCATTCCTGTCACTGATAAGACCCAGCTCTAAACTCCGATACTCCGTACAATCTCTTGGGTATGTCTGTGATGTTGGAATTGGGTGTACGCGTACTGCCAAATGCTTGGCGCGGCGTGTCACATGACCGCCCACGCGCCACTTCCCACAGTAGAATCAACCTCTCCTGCTTTACAATTCTATTAACAATTCTATATTCTATCTACCTGCAGAATCTATCTACCGAGTACTACGTAGTAAGCAGGAGGAGCAGTCTATCTACTACTACTAGGGCGCGCAGGCACCTGACGCCAAGGATTTGGCTGTACGCGTACGGCCAATTCCAACTCCAACACTGCTTCTGAGATAGATTCAGCAGACTCACACTACTATACTACGTAGTATGTAGCAGCCTAGTGAGAAGCAATCCAAAATGGGTTTTGAATTTTTAAATTTGATTTTGGTTTTTCTACAGATTTGATTTTGAATTTTCTACAAATTTGAATTGGCCTTAAGCCTGTAATAGTCCGCGGTAGTACAGTACCCCACCAAAAGTATTGGGACAA